CTTCAACCCAAACATGATCAGGCAAAGGCATAGTAACATCCATCTCGATTAAAAGCCTAGCAAAGGAGACTCTACTTTGTTCAGAGGTGCAAGCATCAGCATATAGGGGTACACTCCCATCAAGCTTCCAATTCTACTCAGTGAATCACTACTCCAACAATGCAAAGGCAGATTGGGCAGTTTAATCCATAAGGGAATGATGCCCAGATAAAGGGATTCTCGAGAATCTAACTGCTAGTTTCGGCTATCTTTCCTGTTCAAATAAAGCAAGTGAACCAACCCTAACGTAGCTTGCTTTCTGGGTGTCGGTATAGGTAGGGCAGCTCATAGAAATGAAAAAGTTCTTTGCGGTAAGCGTTCTTACCTTCCTCTACTATTCTTGGCCTTTAGTCTTGATGCGAGTTGGGCAGTTCACCGTAGAGCCTATATGACCGTAGAGTGTTAGCTGGAGCGAATACTAGCAAGCGAGTTGGACAGTTCTCTCTTCTAGTCTGTTAGTCTGTCAGTTGGAGAGTGAAGGCCAATCATTCCGGTTCTCTGAGTTTCCCTCGACAATGCCGGATATTTCTCAGATGCCGGGTGGTGGAACGATCGATTCAATCGAAAGGCTAGGAATCGTCTTCTCCTATGCCGACACTACTACGACTAAGACCTAAAGGGCAGGTAGTAGTGGATTGGGTCTTTTCGGTACTGTATTCAACCTTGTAGCCTAGAAAGCTTTTCTTTATTGAATATACAAATAACACCGTGCACATACAGATAGCAACGATCCGGAGGCTGGTGGTGGTAAAGTATCTGCAAGTAAAAGGAAAGCAATCCAAGTACTTTGTTTCGAAAGCCCCCGATCTAGCCTATAGAAAAGGTAGTTTACTTACTTAGTGCTTTAACTAAGGAAGAAGTAGCTGCTACTGTTCGCATATCCGCTCAAGCAAGCCTGCCCCAAGCCGGCCAAGCAGTTGCTTTGAATCGGATTATAGGTTATTTTTTATATAAATAGATCTTTCCCTCAAATAGAATATAATATATTGAGCGATTGCATACCTCTTTAGTTCGCTGCTAAACGAAGACGGGAAGGTCTCGGGCGCCTAAATAGCTGAGGGAGGTCAGCTGCGCAGGACCGTGGAGTCGTCTTTGGGTCTCGGAATCTTCTTCTTAACATATTGTCTACACAAGAGCCAAGAGATCAGGGTGGTCCTCTAAGGTCCCAACAGGTGTCACGATCACGCAAGGGCCTGAATTACCTATTGCCGTCCGCTACTGCTTTCACAGTTTATTACTTCCTCACTTATAGATTCTACTACTTATTAGAAAGAGAGTCCCTTGTAATTGGATAAAGTGATGACCGAAATCGCTGATGGCGTGGTTCATCACATATCTTAATGCTTTCGGAATCAACGAACATAGTGTGTCCTAAGTCGGTAGCAAGATCAGAAGGCTCCGAGAGCCCTGGATAAAGATTGAAATCTTGAACTAACCAAAACTCTCGATAAAGAGAGTGTTAAGTTAAGGAGTGTTTCTCGGCGTTCGGGCGGCCCAGCAACGAGAAGTTCAACTTCACACACCAAGGGTTGAACTAATCTCCGCGCTTCATCGCAGATGAGGGCATTAAGGAGTAGTCACCGCTCGTCCGCCATTAGCACTCGGGGCTCTTTTACAGTAACTACTACGGACGGGACGGCAAGTGTACAATGTAAAAGTGTGCATTTGCCATGTTTGCATTCCGCGGTTTAACCAACTCGCTCTTGTCCAGTAGGCCCACGAAAGACGAACTTTAAGGTAGCACTCACTGAGGAAATCCAGATGAGAGAGAGGCTGCAGCAAATAAACACCACTGCCGCTCGCTAACAAGTCTCTCTAAGGTGGGAATTCTGAGTGGAGATAGAGATAAAAATAAATAAGTGATGAACCCTGTTTTTCATTATATCCTTACAAAATATTAAATCCGATGTAACGACATCAAGCACGAGACGGCGGTCAATCGATGGCTATAAGTCGGGTGGTACCCGAGACTGTAGCGGTCGCCACTGTATCCACAGGATTTAAAGACCCACTGCCGAGGGGACTGAGTGGCATGCGTTCTACTGCGACGTGGCTCCATACGGGGGAACTGGGTTCTTAGGACTTAAGTCATCCCTTCTGCTTTGGAGTTTCACTTTCTTAGAATGGGTCGTTGAGAATTTTTTGGTTGGGCTAGGTAAAGTAAGCCCTTTACTTTCTTTCTCAAATAGCGGGGTGTTTACTCGCTAGGTTATCTTTTTCGTTCCTGCCCTACATGCGTGCTTCACTTCACTCTAACTAACACAAGGGAACGGTAACAAAAAGATAATTAATAAATGTCGTATATATGAGAACAATCTCGCTTTGAGATGACACGCCCCAAAACTCCCACGCCTTTCTTGGTTGGAAAGAGTTACTTTTTCGAATTCCCTCCCTTTATACGCTCTAAAAAGAGATCATGGCATTCCGAAAAGACCTCATTGTGGGATGAAGACCGTAACCTTAGTAACTCAGTGCTCTATACGGGGGAAATGAAAGCAGAATTCGTTCGGATCCTCTCACATGTTCAATCTTTTTTTAGCGGTTTCCCCAGAGATCTTTCTCATTAATGCAACCTTCATTTTGCTCATTCATGGAGTTGTTTTTAGTACCTCTAAGAAATATGATTATCCACCGTTAGTCAGTAATGTGGGTTGGCTTGGATTACTTAGTGTTGCGCGCCTAGGAGGGCAGCGCGCTTTGGGATGCGGAGGAGCTTTTATCGCCCAGCTCCCTAACCTAATGCGGCACCGGGTTCGGACCGCAGGGAACCGTAGCATGGGAGGACGTCTAATCCTTTTGCCGTCGCAAGGCTGGCTAATCGTACGCAGCAGGCTCGAAGACCCCTGGTTCTGAAAGGCACATGAGTCCGAACGCTATGTTGAATGTGCGACCGACACTACACTACGTAGGTACCTGTGCAGGTAAGGCGTCGGTCGGTCCTAGAAACGGCGGCAGTGGCGCGAGGAGTTAACGAACGGACGTGCTGCAACCTAGGGATCACCAGGCAGCTCTTTCGCTCTATAGGGGTCGAGAGGGCATAGCACAATTCTTCTTGGAGGAAGGTTGGTTTGCCCAGGTGACTGATCCTGCCATAATGGACTCTTACCTATAGAACCGGCAACCGAAGTCGAGCATACATACGACGATCTTCATGCGTGAATAGCCGGGAGGAAAGAAAGGGCGGTAGATGATAATGAGAAAGGGCGCCGCGTCTGGACGAGCGGGCAGAATGGATGAGCGAAGAGTGGGAAATAGCCCGAGTCTCATGTAAGATCGAGGTGCTTCCGAGGAACTGGGGGACCTTCTCGAGCACAGGTTCTGAAAGAAAGAGATAGAGCTAACCTATTCGTTATGGGGAATCAATGCTCCGGACCGAATAGAGCTTACCTACGGGCACATGGCTTTCTCCGGCGGGCTTTCTCTCGTAAAGCCAAAGACGCCCCAAGACAAAGTACAACTGTTGGGAAGAGGACATGATCAATAGAACCTGGCTGGATCCGGGCTGGGATAGTGGCGCCCATTCCTAACCAGTTCCGAAAAGGTTCGCTCATGCTGTAGGGAGCATTCTCACTTAGTGATCGGTCCGCTAGTTCACGCAAATTCGAAGAAGTTATCACGGACGAGCCACATGCAGGGAAACTTGCACGTGTGGTTCTGGCCGGGCTTTCCTGAGGTATCTAATAACCCTGCTTTTGCTCGCTGCTGGCGCACCTCTCCTAACTATTGCCCATTTATTCTGGAATAATCTTTTTAAGAGGGACAATTTTACATATTTCTGCCAAATCCTTCTATTATTAAGTACGGCTGGTACCATTTCGATGTGTTTTGATTTTTTCGAACAAGAGAGGTTTGATGCTTTTGAATTCATTGTATTAATTTCACTTCCTACTCGCAGTATGCTCTTTATGATCTCGGCTCATGATCTAATTGCCATGTATTTAGCTATTGAGCCTCAAAGTTTATGTTTTTATGTGATCGCAGCATCAAAAAGAAAGTCTGAATTTTCTACGGAAGCCGGCTCGAAATATTTGATCTTAGGTGCATTTTCTTCTGGAATATTATTGTTTGGGTACGACCGGACAACTACCGATATCCATTAATATCTTTTCTTCTCATTTTTTCGTAAACTATCGGAGCGGGTATTTTTTTAGATGTGAAACTTGCAGACTTCATTGGTTGTGATATTGATCTTACGCAGGTTCTGAAAGAAAGAATATAAAGACTTGTAGAGACCCTCTATGTAGTTGTCTATCTAGGGGGCGATCGATCTACCTCTTTCTCTATAGTCCTGGGGCTGTGTCTCGATCTCCTACGTGCGGAATCAGAAGGACTAGTTCCTACTTGAGAAACCAACCCTTGGTCTAATTCCACGCCTTATGACGAAAGGGGAGTCGGCGTGGCGTAAAGTGAAGATTGAAGGAAGTATAGAAAAATTCCCTTCTGGGGTATTCCGAAGGTGTAACCTAGGCAACGAAAAAAGGGCCCGATACTTCAACTAGAGGGGCGACCAGTTGGTTCACCAAACTCCGACCCAG